ATTTGCTCACTGTGTGACTTCAGGCTGGTCATTTAACGTCTCTAAATTTCACTCCGTTTATCGATTTGTAAACTGGAGATTATAACACCTTCCTCAGAGGATTGGTTGCTGTGTAGATTGGTGATAATGCATGTACCTAATCATGGCATGTTGCTGGCCTGCACTGATGGTGGCTGGATTTATTATTTCACCTCTCAGATGCTCTCATGCTCAGGGACCTTGCGTGAGTCCGCCGCCTCACACGCCTCAATCACGCTAGCCTGCAAGCATGTGAATGTATGCACACAGCAAACACATACAAACCAGGTAATGAAATGAAACTCACAAGTGTCTGAGGCACAGGAGAATCTTCATGAAAGTGGAGGAAGAGTCTAGCTGTTTCCTAAGCCATTACTTGGGCCTAAGTGAGCCAACACTGGAGCTGGGGCATCTGTGTGTACCACCATCACCAGGTCGCCACAACTGTCTTAATTCTCTCTCCAAACAGCCCCCAGGATCACACCCACCCTCCTTGCCCAGCTGACCACAGTGCAGGAAGACAGGGAATGCTGTTAGGGTATGGCTCCCCTTTCCTGGGGATCAAGCTTTCAGGGCAAGCTGTCCGGGACATGAGGCTCCTGGCTCCCAGCTCCCGAGGGGCTCACATTGGGTCCTTCGACTCTCTAGCACCTCTGGAAGTACCGGCCAGTTAGCGGAGCCTTAGAGGGTGAGATTCAGACCTGCCACTCCCCTTACCACCAGAACCAGGAAAGGCTAGGGTTAGGCAGGGGCATTCATTGATTTGAGTCATTCCCCACAGGCCCATGAGTAAGAGTGGCTCTGGATTTCCAGGCCCTACTCCCCACCAAGATGCCTGTCGGGGTCTTCCAAGACTGGGTCTCTGTTGGTCCCAGGTGCTGTCCTGGGGTTCCGCCTTGGGCTTGGCTCCTTCCGGATCAGGGAGCAGCAGCTGGGGAGGCTTGTGGGCTTAGCTGACTCTGCTGCCCTCACACCCCTTTCGCTACAACTGGGCCTAACTCTGGAGTTTCTGTCCTCACCCGGGCATGGGCTGCATGAGAAAGGAGAGGAGCCCCCAGCACTAAGTCAGCCCCGTGGACAGGGCTGGAAATCCCCCACTTCTTACCTTGGCCGGTTGAGGAAACAGCCTCCCGGCAGAGGGCCGCCTCCCGCCAGGGACTTTTCTCCTGGGGGTGACACAGCATACAGGGCAGCTGCAGGGACCCCAGCCGCACTTCAGCCAGCCTGGGGTGAGGGGAGCAGCACACAAGACCACCCTCTCCCTTGTGGGAAGCATGGCAGCCAAAGGTCCTAGAACCCAACTGGGACATAGGCAGGCCCGAGAGGGTGGGCAGGGAGAAGGGAGGCCACAGGGGTAGTGATGGCCCAGAAAGTCCACGCTGCTGGTGACATCTGGGAGTCTGACCGGGCCCAAGTGGTTCTGCATCCAGAGCTCACCAGCCCCTCCTCCATAGCTCCCTTCCCTCGCCCAGCACCCAATCTGAAACAGGCTTCTGATAGGTTATAAAGCCCTCACTGATCTCCCGGGGTGGTGGTCTCCAAACTTTTTTGAATATGAATATTTATGTATAGATTAGACACTATAGTCAAAACACATATCAAATATTATTAAAGTTCAGTTTACCTTTTAGATAAACAATGAATCTAAATTGAAATTCTCCTATTTCCTCCAGCCCCCAGACAGATGGCCTTGCTCACTCCTGCAGGCAGCCCACTGAAGAGCCCACCACACTGAGAGGTGAAGGTAGGAGAGTCCCTCTCAGAGCTCACCATCCACTTTGCAGGAGGGTACAGGGCAGGGGGGCTAGTTTTCTTAATACATTTGCAAACCACAGACAATAGAGTAACTCACAGCCGAAGCCCTTCTATTTGCTGCTGTTGTGAACTTTAAAAGAAACTTGGGGACTTCCCTGGTGGTCCAGTGGCTAAGACCCTGCGCTCCCAGCGCAGGGGGTCTGGGTTCGATCCCTGTTCAGGGAACTAGATCGATCCCACATGCCATAACTAAGAGTTTGCATGCTGCAAGTAGAGATCCTGCCTGCTGCAACTGAAGATCCTTCACGGGGTGACGAAGACCCCGTATGTTGCAACAAAGACCCGGTACAGCCAAATAATAAATAAATAAATAAAAGAAGCAATTGACTGGCTTCAAAAATATTAAAAAAAAAAAAAAAGAAAGAAAGAAAGAAAGGAAAGAAAGAAAGAAAGAAAAGAAACTTGGTCATCTTAGGTAAGACCCTATTGCTGCAGCCGTGGTTATGCTGCAGCTCCCCACCCCAAAGGCCCAGGCAGCCTGTCCCTAGAACCACAGCACCTGATGTAGAAAGTGAGTGTTTATCAAGGAAGAATGCAGAGACCCAGGATGTGTGTGTGTGTGTGTGTGTGTTGTGTGTGCATACACGTGCATGTGCGCCTGGGCTGTGCCATTCAGACAGAACCTGCCCCCTTGCAGTTGAGGGGTGGCCTGCCCTTTCTACCCCATTAGAGGGAAGGCAAGCCCAGGACCCTCTCCCTGCCCTTGGATATGTGGCCCAGCCACATATGTGGATCAGCCCTCTTAGCAGGGAGCAGGGGCCCCTCAGGCAGAGGATAGGGGCCTGACTTTTCTGCCAAGGCCAGAGTTGTCACTGGCTCCAGCTGGCCTGGGTGGCTCTGGGGCCAGCGCTTCCTCCTTCATTCAAAAGCCCAGCCCTGTAAGGGTGGCAGAGAGGGAGGGTGAAGGGAGGGCTCAACCTCCAGCCCCCTCCCCCCTCACTGACAGCTGTAATCTGCTTGGGAAAATCTCTTTTTTTTCCGCACAGGAAAAAATATTAGTTGTCCCGATAACAAGGAAAACAAAATCCAGCGCAGGGCATCAGAGACTTCCTGAGGCGGGAAACAATGTCCAGGGAGCTCAGTGGAGAAGCCCGAGCTGGGAGGCTGAGGGGGAGCTGAGAGAGGACACTGGTCCAGGCCTATCCGGCCGGCGGGGGAGGGGGATGACAGATCGAGGAACTTGGAAAAAAGATTTCCCCCCCAAAACCTTGAAGTCTGGGCTGTTGAGCTATATCCGGGAAATGATTCAGGACCGCTGCACGTCCCTAAATGGGATCAGGCCCCATCAGCTCAGGTGATCTGAGTCTACCCCTCTTCCCTCCCAGTCCCCAGCCTGTTCTCCTGGGTGCTGTCCCTCCCATCTGGGGGGCTTGGGATGAGGCAGGAGGGTCCCTTCCTGGGCGCCTGGAGAGGCCACGGGCACCCCATGGGTGCGCCTCTCCCAGTATTCTTGCCTTGTCTGCCCACAGCTGCTTCCCTGGGTAACTTTCCATTGGGGGTGGGGGGTTTCAAGAAGGGGAGGACTTCTCCAAAGGCCCCATCCCCAGGCCTAGGGGACTCTGTTGCCCATTTCCCTCTCGGCCCAGGGCACCTGCACCGCTTGGTCCAGTGGGTGTGGCCTCTGAGCACTATGGGCTCTGGGGAGGGGCGTGCTCCCAGCGAGCAGTAGTTCTGACTCTGACTGCACACTGGGTCACTTAGAGGCTTTTGGAAAATACCAGTGCCTCCTAGGCCTGATCCCAGACCAATTATATCAGAATCTCTAGGGAGCTGCTCAGGTGATTCTCTGTTTATTGTTTTTTTTTTAAATATTTATTTATTTATTTTGGCTGCGCCGGGTCTTAGTTGCGGCACGCGGGATCTTCGTTGTGGCATGTGGGATCATTTTTTAGTTGCGGCATACGAACCCTTAGTTGTGGCCTGTGGGATCTAGTTCCCTGACCAGGGATTGAACCCGGGCCCCCTGCATTGGAAGCGCGGAGTCTTACCCACTGGATCACCAGGGAAGTCCCTGCTCAAGTGATTCTTGTGTGCTTCATGGAGCGGGGGATTCTTGAGAACCCCCCGCTCCATGAACCTGTGACCCTTTGGTCACTTGCTGGCTGGTCCCCTTTGCCTCTAGCAACAGCACTGGCCTCTCAGTTTCAGATTGGAGCCCCTCAGAATTTACCACCTAGCCAGTGGCGTCCAGAGGTGCCTGCAGAGTTCCCTGACCAGCTGGAGGCCAGCTGCCCAGCCCAATAGCAGGTTCTGGGTTAGCCCACCCCCTCCCTCTGCTCCTTCTTCTTCCCCCTGGGCAATGACGCTTGGGGCCTTTGTTCTCAGCCAATAAGTGTGTGACCAGAAACCTACCCACAGCTTAATTACAGCTCCATTCACTGGCCATAGGCTGGCCACGGTCCACACTCAACCTGCCCAGCTCTCCCGCTCAGCATCCCCCACTCCACACAGCCTGTAGCCCAGGCAAGCCCAGTGCAGCTCCTCCCCACATCCCAGGGTCATCTCCAGCTTTGTTCTCAGCAGGACCCGAGATTCCTTCCCCCACAATGCCCTTAGCCCTTGCTCTGTACAAAACTTAGGGTCCTCAGGGAGATCTAGGCTCTGAGCCTTTGTGGCTTTCCCCAAAGGCTGGGGGCGCCCCGCCAGAGTGCTGCTGCTGTGCCATGCCACATACTGAGCTTACACAGGCTTACTCTGAAGTCAGACTATTCCTGGTTCTTTTTTTTTTTAATTTTCCTGGTTCATTTTTGATTGTTCATAAGCATGTTCCAGTCTCCTACGTGCTGTGTCTATAGGGGGATACGTACACGCAGGAGCCACAGTCCCTCCCCTCAAAGGCCTTCTCAATACAGAGGGAAGGACTGTAATGAGCTATCACAAGGTAGTGCCATTTGAATTCCTTGAAACTTTCTCAGGAATTCCCCACCAGCACAGTGCACGGAGTATTTTGGACACTCCAGAAATGTCTGTTGAATGAATATTTGTTTCTTAAGTGGAGCACAGTATGTCCCTCCCCTGGCAGTACACATAAAAGGAGATATCCCAGGGGTCAGGGATAAGATGGCGTTCCAGTTGCATAAAATGGGGGACAGTGGAGGGTAGAATGAGCTGGGGCCTGTGGCCTGGCTGAAGAGAACTCACTAGGGTTCCTTTTTGTTCCTGGCCAGGTTTTTACCAACTGAGGGGCTCGCAGGTCCCCAAGGTCTGTCCAGAGGGCCAGTGGGTTACCAGTCCCTCTGCCCAAGTTGTCTTGCCCACCTGGAGAATCACCAGAGATCCTGAGAGGTAGGACCACAGAGCAGGCTTCTCCCTTCTCCTAAGGGGGCCTTCTTGGCCTGGGATTCCCAGGGGTCTCCCCTTTCCCTCTGGAAGAGACCATCCCAGCTCCCAGCCTTCATCACAGCATTTTCCAAACAGGTGGAGGATGCTGTGGACAAGTGGCCACCTGGCTACGGGAGAGGGGAAGCCCCATTGCTTGTCCCTGGGGCTTCATCCTCCCCAGGGGGAAACGGTTGGCCGAGAAGCCACTGCCTGCTCCCCAGAAGCTAAGGATCTGACCCCTGGCCTGGGCAGTGGGCAGCAGGCTTCAGGAGCTTGGGGTGAGGGGACTTAGAAGGGAGGGGCTCCAGTCCCAGCTGCCTGGCTTTGGGTACTAACAGGCCACGCTGGGGGCAGCCGAGATTGAGGGGGAGCACCACCACCTGCTTTTCCTTGTTTTGTTTTCAGGGCACTAATTACTGTGCTGAGCTCCGAGCTGCCTAATGAGGCCGTTTGGATTTCCTGTTGTTCTGGCTTCCCAAGACCCTTAAAGGGCCAGCATCGCTCTAGGAGCGTGCCGGGTGGGACACCAAGCGCTCTGGTGAGGGCGAGCACAGAGGGGCTATCCCTAGGCTTGGCCTGAATGCCAAGGGCAGTGAGAGGGGCTGGTCCAGTACTTCCCGGCCGCCCTCATGCCCTCCAAGAGGACCTGCTCAGAAGTGCCCGCAGCGGAAGCAGGAGCTTCAGAACTGTGTAGCCTGGCCAGAGCATGTGATTGGGGGGAGGGGGAGGCAAGGAGGCCAGGGCTGAGGAAGAAAGGCTGGTGATGTCACCAGTGCCCAGACTGTGAGAACCACTGCAGCACCAGGCAGGAGGGAAACGCCGTGACGTCCTGTTCCCCCCTCACCCTGGAAAATAAACACTTGTTGTCTGAGTGGCCAGCGCCACTTCCGAAGGGGCAGGCTGGCCGGGCTAGAGGCTCAGAAACGGGCCTGAGCCCAGCTTTGAGCAAAGGCCTTTGCCCAAGATGCATGCAGAAAGGCCTGTGGGTCAGGCTGCCCCGAACTCAGCCCCTCTACAGCACAGCACCCAAACGGGGCTTACCGGGTGCATTCACCCCCTCTGCACCTTAGGGCTCATCTTTGCACGTGAAGGAGCTGAGAACAGCTAGGGATGCCAGGGAACCCCCTTCCACACTTGCCAGGGGCTGCAGAGGGACCGGCGGGGCCGGTGTGGGTGGGGGGCATCTGCCTCCTGAGTCTCCCTTAGATGTGAGTCACAGCCTAGGCTCTAGGACCTGTCCTAGGTGCCCCTCAGGCTGCCCCGAACTGTGGGTCCCCTGGGCCCCAGGAGGCCTGGCCTGCAGCGCCCTCCCCCACAGACGGGGTGACAACATTGTTGTTCTTATACGGGGCCTTCCGCCTGGAGTTCCGGCTCCGCTAAATGGTGGGAATGAGGGTCCCAGGGACAAAGCCAGCCTGGTTCCCGCAGCCACCTCAGAATGGACGGAATCCCCATTGTGTGCGGGCGCCCTGTGCCCGCCCTCCCCTTGCCTGCGCCGGACATGCCAACAAACAGCTCATTGAGCCCGGGGGAGGGGCGCAGGAGACAACAATGTCCCCCAGCGGGCCAGGGCAGTGAGCTCAGCTGGGGGTGGGGGCTGCCATGGAGGCCGGAGGGCGATGATCTCAGCCTGGGGAGGGCCGGCCTGTGAGACAGGCTGACCCTGGCCTGGCCGCCCCGGTGAGGCTGAGAAGGGATGACGGGGCTGGCCTCGCCCTTGCTGCCCCACCCCCTGGGCCGAGCTGGGAACTGACCGGCGCTTCTCACGCTTAAACTGCCCCCGCCGAGGGCACCCAACAGGCGTAGCAGGGGGGCCCGCAGGACCCAGCAAGCCACCCCAGACCCGAGAGGCTGGTGGACCCTCCCTCTAGCGGTGCCAATTCAGAAGCCCCTCGGCAAGGCCCAAACAGAGCTCTCCCACACCACCAGCCCACACTGGCCACAGCAGGACTTTTGGATCAAGAAGTGAATGCACTTTTCACACCCAGAACCATCTAAAGAGCAGGCAACAGCCAGAAGAGGGAGGGAGGGTCCTATCTCCGGAGGTATTCAAGCCCTTGGCTATAGAATATGGGGTTGGTCTAGGTGCCCTTGAGCGCTCACCTCACCCTGAGTTTCTAGGTGTTAAGACCCCAGCTCATTCCCTTGAGACACCTCTGGATTCCAGAGGTGTTTCAGGCCCGAGGTTGGATGAACCTAGGCCTGATGCAATCCTTTATCCTCTTCCAGCCAGGCTGCTAGGCAGGGCCCCAAGACTCTGAGGGAAAGAGTAGGAACGTGGCGGGGTGGGGGGGGGAGGGGTGTGGAGAGAGGTATGGCCAAAGCAGCCCCCACTCTCAGTATAGGAGCCAGGGAAGCCCTGAGGCTGGTCGTGTTTGCAGGGCTGTATCTGGAAAGCCAGGGGTGGAAGAAGAGAGTGGCTGCTGGCAAGGAAAATGTGGGGCCTGTCCCAGCAGGTCCTCAGGGGTCTGGCATTCTCAGGTGCCCAGCCATCTCAAGGACAGGACCCAGGCTTTGGTGTATACCTGGCCACCAGCCATAGATGCAGAAGGCTCCTAGTTGCCTCTGGCCCTCCCTCTGTACCTCCCTGCTCCAGACCACCCTGCACCCCACTGCCAGATGGCGGCTGAACACCCTCCTCGGCTCAAGAACCCACAGGTTCCCTAAAGCCCATCGATCAAATCCGAATTCATCTGTCTGATGGGTCTCCATGCCCTACCTGTCTAACCTCACGTCCAGCCCTGCACATGCAAAGTCTGCTCCAGCTATACCTACTTCATTTCCACTCTGATCCTTTTCCTCTCTCCATTCCGCCTGGCAGGAATGTCCTCTCTTCTCTTTTTCTAAGTTCTGCTCCTTCCTCCAGGTCCAGTGCCTTCCCCTCACTCCCCACAAAGCCTCCCCCATCCCTCTCTGAACCCGGGCTCTGCAGATCATCACATTCCTTTTCATGACCCTCGATTTTACCTCCATGTCCCATTAGGAGCTGAATCGGATGTTCCTTTTGGCCTCGCTGACCTTAGCCCAGTGCTAGGCACATGGTCGACCTCATTCACAACTGGTTGACTAAGGGACCAAACTCTGGATATGCATGTGGCCACACACACAGGCCCTGACCCAGGAAAACTAACCATGGGGGTGCACAGAGCCATGCCCCAAATGGAATGCATCTTTTGACTGTATTCTCTTCTTCTGATGGCAGTTTGATAGACTCACCCCAGGTCTCCCCAGCTTCCTTCTTACCTGGAGAAGGGTTCTGGTAATGGGGGTAAGGGATCAAACCTCTTAGGAGAGGAGGGGAAGCAAGAGATGGGGGAGTTGGCCACGGCCACAGGGCAACACAGGGATCTCAGTGGCAGAATGACACCAGCAATGGGAATGTTCATGATGCCCGAACAGCACTCATGAGAGTGGGGTGAATGGGCACAAAACCGGTTGAAGCCTGTCTGTTTCTAAACTTACAGAGACAGCTGGGGCTGTTGCTGAAGCCCCTGGTGTTGGAAACCCTGAGTATTCATTTTTGCTCTGGAAATTCTCTGTGAGCTCCCAGACCTTAAATTAAGCCTGTCCCTTTGCTGCAAAGTTAGCGTTGGCTGGACAGCTCCGCAGGGCTTGTTCTGAGAGCAGTAACCAGAGGGCTGGGGGCAGGAGAGGCAAAGTGATCAGGACTCACAGTGGCCTAACACTGCCCAAAAACCCCTCGGGGCTGAGAGGAGGCCCAGGTCCTGGTGCCTCTCAGGCCTCTCTGGATTTCTTCCTTGGGGACGGTCTAGACCTAAGGAGAATCCTCTGGGTGGGAGGTTCTTTGCTAATCACAGGCAAGGCAAGTTACTCATTAGCAAGCATCAACATGCAATTCTAATCAACTCCAGGGGAGAGTTCAACTTGGATTAACAACTGGAATACATAGTGTAGACACTGTCACAGGAAGTTCTCCCATATGTCTAACCTAAATCCTTCCTGCCACAACCGAAGCCCATTTCCTCTCATTCTGACTGTGGTGGGAGAAGGAGACAGCTGGTCACCATTCTCTGCTTAAGACCCATCACCTACTTGACCATGGCAGTCAGATTCCTCCTCAGCCTTCCTCAGGGAACAGTAACCTGCCTGCTCAGGCAGCTATTCACAGAACTGGCACGTGTCCCCGGTTTCTTTCTCTGTGCATGAGAGTACTGAAGCACAGCACTTCCTGGTTCTGCCCTGACCCTTCCTCCCAGGGAGGCTGCAGGGGACCATGGCCCATCTGAGTAATCTCCACTCCCAGGTTCTGGGGCCGCAGAGAGGGAGAAGTGTGACCCCATCCGCTATCTCTTACTTGCTTCAAGTCCTGGGTGGCAGCTGGGATCAGAGATCAGAGGTTGTGCGGAGAAATGAGGACAGGTCAGAGTTTCTTCCAGGAGATGGGTTGTTCAGCGGAGGAAGGTGAAGTGCACGCAAGGACCCAGAGACATGGAGGGGCCAGGTGCAGTGCTGGGCCTGGATGCTAAGGGAGGCCAGAGCCAGAAGAGGGGAGTGAAGGCTGAGCAGGCAGGTGGGGCTGGAGAGAGCTTCCCACCTGTCAGAGTTTACAGAGAAGAGAGGTTTCAGGGACAGGTGAGCTGTATGCTGGGGAGGGGACAAGAACAGAGGACAGTGGAGGCTAGCACAGTCAGGGCAGAGGATGAGTGGATGAGAAGGAAGAAAATCCTTGGGGTAGAGAAACCAGTCCAAGATGGAGGACTGAGGGGGTGCCTGAACCTTTACTTTCAACTCAGGCTCCGCTCCCCCACCCCACCCTGTTCTTCAGTATGGCTGGCAGAAGGTTCTCTTTTGGCCCCATCGCTCTCAGCAATGCCTTTGCCCTTTGCCCTCTGTTCTCTAGCCCTGTAAGCCCTCTCAGAGTCCCCTCTGTCCTGAGAGACCGGGGCAGGAGGCAAGGGCAGGCTGGGCAAGGCCTGCAGCCTGAGGGTCTCCGCACAGAGGCCTCCCTGAGCCTTCTCTCCCTTCCCCTGGGCCTCCCTCCTCACTTGCTAGGGTGGGGACAGGAAGGAGCTAGGGAAGGGGAAGCCAGGGGCTCTGGGAAAGTTGCCGTGGAGGCTGCCCTAAACCCCGGACTCCTCTGTGGCTGGAAATACCCGCTGCGTGGCTCCTGGCCCTAGCTTTCCAGGTTTCCCCTGGGTTTGGCAAATGAAGCTGGGGAGGCTGCCGGGTCACCACCAATGAAGGCCCTTGCTTCCAGCCAGCAGGTCTCTACCCTGCCCCTCCACTCTCGCCTTCTTTCCTTCTAACCAGCACACAGGAGGCCTACGGAGCACTTCCTTCCTACACAGTTAAAAGAGGCTTCTCAGGTCAGGGGCCCTCAGCTGCTTCTCTCTTGGGCCCATGGTCTCTTCAGGCCAAAGCTGTTCTCACTGAGAGGAGAGGGCTCAGTCCACAGCAGCTGCCTCAGCCTCAGGCACCATCTGCCCTGGCCTTCTGAGAAGGTAAAGGCGACAGAGTATGGGGCTAGCCCAGGCCCTCAGGCTCCTGGGAGCCTGGCAGAGAGAAGGTGGGAAGCTCTCCTGATCTCATGAGAAGGCAGAGCAGGCACTCTGACTCATGTTTAATGGTCTCACCCACTTGGACATCCTTTCCTTGGGACATTTGGGTCATCAATCATGAGCTATAAGCCAGTGGACAGCCCAGCCCAGTCTGTGTGCCCTCTTGGTGACGTGGGGAAGGCTGAGACCCCTGAGCTGCCAGGAGCCTCAATGACCAGGGCAGTTCAGAAGTTGACTTCTCCTCCTACATGCCTCTGCTCTGAAACATCACCGTGAAGGAGGAAGGGTGCCAGCTTGAGACCTACATTTGACTCTGGCTGGAGGGTCATCTGGCCATGGGCAATTGGTTCTTCCAAACCATCTCTTATCCAAACCCATTGTCAAAGCTCCAGTCTTCTCCTTCCAGTTGAGAACCGTGTCACAGCCTCTTCCCACAAAAGGCCCTTCACAGGGCCTTTAACAGTGGAGGTTTTCCAGTGTCCATCTCCTTTCCATGCCCCACCTAGCTTTCCTCTCTTTGTTTCCACCCTCTGCTCCTTTGCCTCATTCTTTGTAACTGTTTGCCTTCAGCTCTCCTTTTTCCTTTCTTTCCTCCTGGAACTCATTTGCAAATGCATAATCAGTCACCCTCCCAGGTGGCTATCATTATTATCCCCATTGCACATATGAGAAAACTGAGGTGTAGAGCTATAGTTAAATTACAAGTCCAAGACCCTAGGGTTGGGAAGTGCCAAGAGCCAGGTTTATGTCATGCTTATTCACTCGACTCAAGCAGAGGGTGGGGAGAGGCCCCATTCCATCTCAACCCTCCTGGGCTGCCTCGCGGAGATTCTTCACAACTCAGTGGCTGTCAGCGCCAATGCCCCAGGTGCTACCCCTTCCTCCTCCTCACAGGGGCTCTCACATCTTATCATCAGCCACTGCATTCTGTTCCCCCTGTGAAGCCCCCAAATGAGTCTTCAAGGCCACCACCAAGTCATCATCTTCCTCTCTCCTCCACCAGCCTCAGGCCTGTTCTATGGGGAACCCACTCTGTCCCGCGGGAAAGACCCAGAGCAGGCAGTTCCTTGTAAGGCCTCCAGAGAGAGGTGAACGCGGCCCGGCGGGGCGCCGCCTGCCGAACGGGAATCCCGGCCCTAACCGCTGGCGCCCCTCGAGGGGAGGGGCGAGGGCGGAGGTGGTTCTGCGGCGGCATCTGTCCCAGGCGGGCGGGAAGCTGCTGCATTAAATTGTAAAATCGATTTATTGACCGGCAGGTGCGAGCAGCGGCAGATGGAGAGTAGCGCTGCTGGGGCGCATCTGCGGGGAGCGACGGCATCGATCCTGGCCCCCCTCCGAAACCTGTCGGTCCCTGGTCCTTTCACGTCGGCTCGCTCCCAACTGCAGGGCCAAGGTCCGCGAAGCTGTGGAGCCCGAGCGGCTAGGGTAGCTCGCTGCGCGCCGCCCCCCTCCCCCGCCCGCCCTCGCCTGGCCTCAGGGCCCGGGCTGCGCCCCCACGGCTGCCAGGCCCTGCCAGCCCCACTGCCCCAGTTGGCATGCGGCGGGCCGGGCTGACGCGTGGCAGCGCCCTGCGGCAGATGAGGCACGCGCCGTCCTCATTTCAATGTGAATGGATCGAATGGAGCAGCCATGTGGCAGCAACAGTTTGCAAATCTCCCCGCCTTCTGTGCAGCTCCCCGGCCGCCGCTCCCTGCACGTGGCCCCTTCCCCGCAGCGACCGCAGCGGCGCCCCTCAAGGCTTAAGCGCCCCGCCCTAGCCAGGCTAGCTCCCCCTCCCTTGGCCTGCCCGGCGGGCGCTGTAGCCCGGCCCCTATCGCGCTCCTACCTGGGTGCAGTTCGTCCCGCGGAGAACGCTGTCCCGGGGGTCGGGGTGCAAAATAGCGCTGGAGGCCGGGAAGATGCGACGGCAGCCCTGGGGAGGGCGCGTAGGCTACCAAGTGGGGGAGGGGCCCCGAGGCTCTGCTCGGCCCGAGTCGCACCCTAATCACCAGGGGTCAGCTCGGGGGCCAGGCTCGAGACCACCTTTGCGCCTCCGGGCCCCAGGTGCGGGTTCTGCCTGCTGGGGGGCTGTATGCAGCGGCCAAACGGAGAGGACGGCCGGAGCCGAAGGCCCCTGGGGCGGAGGCTGTGGGCCTGCCTGAAGCCAGGCCTCGACCCTGTGGCTCCAGACGCTGGGCAGTGTTGCGGGTGCTCGTGGGGATGAGGATCTGTGGACCATCAGAGGGCCCACAGTCAGTCCGGGGAAGCCCAGGTTGGTGGGACCTTGCAATCATGCCCCCTCTCCAGGGCGTGGCCGAGCGTCTGCGGAGGCGTAGGTTCATCAGACGTCCACGTGGGTCCAATCCCACTGTGATTTGCGGCCTCTGATAGCCTCACAGCCTCATGTTCCTGGGGGCCCCCAGGACACGTGTTGGGTCTTTCCTTCCACAAGTCACGAGTGGGAGAAAAGTGGAGGAGCCCCAGTTGTGGAGCCTCCGCATTTCTATTCCCTGCCTGCAAAGCGACCCTCTCCTGCTCAGCAAATGTGGGCAAAGCTGGACCCCAGCGGGTTGGAGCGCTAGTGGGTAGTCAGGGCCAAGGGCGGCGTCCTAGAGTCTTAGGGGAGTAAATGAACTTCTGGGACAGCACCGTATAGCAAATAGGTGCTTCAGGAATGCCTTTTGATGGTGAAGAGAATTTAACCCTTTCCCCCTACAGGTCAGAGGATTTCTATCTCTGGGATCCCTTTCAAGAATTCTTGACTCTGAGGGTAATGATGATACTTTTGTTTGGTCCTTGACTGTTTGCAAAGTGCTTTGGGGCACATCAGTCCGGATGTGTGTGAGGGATAGAGTGTTCCAGATCTACCAATACTGAACGAAATGTCTCCTGTGGGACTGGATGTCTCCCTTGAGGGTCAGGCATGAGCCAGATCCAGAAAAGGAGCGAGTTTTTTATGAACTCCCAGGCCAGGATTTGGGGGTGGAAGCGGACAGAGAACTAGGTAGGGCTGGATGCCAGCTCAGAGGAAAGCGAGGGGCACTCTTTGGCACCCTAGGCAGGACTAAGGGATCCGTAGAGGATGGGCAGAGAACCCACTGGTCAGGATCGCTGGGAGGCAAGTCCTGGGCTCCTCCTCCCTCGGGCCTGGGGACTCCGCCTGTCCATAACCTACATTAACTCTGGAGCGCAGCCTGGGCCCATCTGCCGGCCCCCGCCCCACCTCGGTTCCCCACGCCAACCCGTTCGCGCCAGATGGTGGCTGGGAGGGGTGGCCGTGCGTGGGGGACCCCGGAGCCCGTCTCCTCACCTCACCCCTCCCCCAACCCACGCTCCCAACCTCTTGTTTCTCATGCTTCTCCCTCAATCCTTCACCACCACCAAGTTAAAAAAAAAAAAAAAATCAGACCATGCTCGGCCTAGGCAGCTGTTGGGCTCCGATCCGTGCCCCCCGCCCCCCGCAAGACTCCCCCGGGCCCGCGCCGCGTCCCTGCTCCCCCCAGCGCCGATCTTATCGCCCGACGACAGCCATCGCTGTGCGGGCGGGCTGACAGCTGAAGCCACAAGGCCCCCGCCGCCCTCAGCGTCGCGGAGAGAGACCGCTCCTCTGCACCCCCCGACACTGAGAGAAGCCGGCCCTCCCCGGTCTAAAGCCTCCGGGGATCACGCCGGTTCCGGGAAAGCAGCTGCACTGCCGCCGCTCGGAGAAGTGGGGCCACCCGGGGGAGCCGAGAAGGCGAGACGGGTGAAGCCGCCTGAAACCCATACGAGTCCGCGCGCTTCCAGTTCCACCCTACATTTTGCCCTATGAGGAGAGGACCCGGGTCTGCCCGGCCTCAGCCCCTGGACTCTCTGGTGGCTCGAGCCAACTCTGCAGTCAGGAGAGTTCCTCCCTGCTCCAACGGAGCGACAGGACGCGGGCCGAGGCTTGAGGCTGTTGGGGGGTGAAGGTGGGCTCTGGAGCTGAGGTTAAACCAAGGTGAGGAGAGGCGCTGAAGGCGGGGCCAGACCCTTATTACCATACAGCTGAGGACGCGCCCCCCTTCTTCTACCTCGGGGACCACGCCCTCCTACCCCCAGCACGGGTACCACGCGTCTGGGGACTGGCACGCGCGGAGCCCAGGCGGGAGGCAGAAGGGAGGAGGCACGCGCTGGACACGCCCCCCATAACTGGGGAGGGAGATGCCCACCAGGTGGAGGGGCCGAGCCCCCGAGTCTTAGATGCTTGGTCCCTCGCCTAGCACGGAGTGGCCACAGAGAGGTTAATGCGTCCTCTGGCTTCCCTGCTGCGCGCGGGGGGGGCGGGGGGGTGGACGCTCACAGGTTGGGGGCCGACGACGCCAGGGCTCCCGAAGTTCCGGGAAGGTGAAGGAGACTGGAGTCCTTTAGCACTGGTTTCGCTTTCTGAGCTTAAGTTCTTTTTACCTTCTCCAGGGCTGCAGGTAACTAACGCCGGCCGTGGTCACACCGCCGACGGGGACTCCCCCGTGTCTCCGCCCCCACGACCATCCGGGAACCACTCGCTCACCTCCCGCCCCATTCCCCCTCGCCCTCCCCCTGTCCTCCCACTGCCGGGGTCTCGGCCTGTATCCACGCGATTGCGGAGAACTGGTCACCTCGGCACGCGCTGAGCTGGGGGACCCAGGGGCTGAGAGCGGCACAGAGGGGCGGGGACCTGTGCCTGACTGGCTGGCTGGGAGGGGGGAAGGCGGGGGCGGAGGCACCCCCGGGCGGGGCTGGGGCTGTAGCAGCTAGAGGCCCGAGGGGAGGGGAGAGTGACCACGAGTCTGAGTGACAGGCGGGTGAAGAGAGGAGCCAATATATATAAGGAAAGCTCCCGAGAGTGCAGGTTTCAGTAGCGGCGCTGAGCGCAGGCTGGGAACGCGAGGCCAAGAGCTGCAGCTCAAGCCGCCTCAGTGCAGTGTACCCGGACACTAGCCTGCTTACAGCCCCAGGATTAGTCCGAGGACACGTCCTCAGCGCGGCCGCCACCCAGCCGCCCTCACCTGGATTACCTACCGTGGCAGTTGGAGCGGAGCTAGCGAGAAGGAGAGGCGGGAGGAAAACCCCGAGCGGAGCCTGGCTTTTCAGGGACCCCTCTGGCGGTTGGACGCGCGGGAACGGTTCACAACCGGCGGGTGCAGAGAGCGACGCCCCAGGGAATGGCAGCCGCAACCCGTAGCGCCTCTGGCTGGGCGCTACTGCTGCTGGTGGCACTTTGGCAGGAGGTAACATCCCGCGCCCCCTCCGCCCCCTCCCACCGTGCCCTGGGCCTGAGCCCCTGGCGTCCACCGAGCTGACCGCTCTCCTTCTTCCTTCCCTCGGTCCCTGGGCAATAGCGCGCGGCCGGCTCTGGAGTCTTCCAGCTGCAGCTGCAGGAGTTTGCCAACGAGCGCGGCGTACTCGCCAGCGGGCGGCCGTGCGAACCCGGCTGCCGGACCTTCTTCCGCGTCTGCCTTAAGCACTTCCAGGCGGTCTTCTCACCCGGGCCCTGCACCTTCGGCAGCGTCTCCACGCCTGTGCTGGGCACCAACTCCTTCGCCGTCGGCGACGACAGTAGCGGCGGGGGACGCAACCCTCTCCAACTGCCCTTCAATTTCACCTGGCCGGTGAGCACAGCCTGGGCGCCCGGGGAGGTCACGAAAGCCGAGAGAAGGGGTTTCCCTGGGACCAAAGCCTTCTCCCTAGATTGCCTCGCTCCCCTCCAATAAAAGGGGGGGCACTCTCTTCTGATCCTTCTTTCCGACTCTCTCCTGGGACCTCACCCTCCTGTACGCTCTCACCAGTCTCTCTCTTCCCCGTTCTACGCTCCATCTTCTCCCAGCGCTAGGGATACGATTTTCATCACCTACAACCCCGGGGCGTGCTCCATCTCAGAAAGACTCCCGCGTACATTCCCTCATCCCTCAACTCTCCTCCTACCCGGGGTTGTCTCGCCTTCCTAGCTCGCGCGCGATGCTGAGTGCAGACCCGTTACATAGACCCGGGCGCAGTAACTGTATCCTGCAATTAGATTAATTAAACCGGCTGCCGAAAGGCACCCCCACCATCCCCTGTTCATCTCGCTCTCTCTGTCTTTCCCCGCCCCCTCCTTTCCGTTCCCAGGGTACCTTCTCACTCATCATTGAAGCTTGGCACGCGCCAGGAGACGACCTGCGGCCAGGTGAGTAGCTCGCTCCGCGGCCACAGGGGGGCGACACGGCGCAGCGCCGAAAGAGTTAATCTGTAATAGGCGGGGGAAGTGCGGGGTGGGGGCGTGGGGGGCAGGACGCTTAGCTAGGCCGGGAGCTGCGCCCCGCGCTGGACGCTCGGATTCCGCCCGCTGCCTGGACTCTGAGCACAATTGCGTTTCCTGCGGGTTATTTTTGGCGTGGGAACGCGGGGAGCACGGCGGTGAGAAAGGCCGAAGCTGCCAGCGCCGCTGACGGGCCCCTTCCTGTATTTTACACCTTTCTCGAATTCCGCTCCTTTGGAAAGGGAATAATGGCTTTGGGATGTTGTTCTGACACAGAGGAAAAGGATATTTCAGCAGCACAACAATTCTCACTTTGCAAAGGAAAAAGAAAAGCATTACCCATCTCTGAGGGCAGAACCCCTGAATGGGCACCAGAGGACCCCTTGCTCCCAGGGTCCTCAAAGGCCTGGAGAGCTTTTCTTTTTCTTTTCTCCCCCCCCCCCATTTTGACCTCTTTTCCTCTTTCCCCTGCCTATCTGCCTCCAGAACACTGGGATATCTTAACATCCTTCTATTGTCCCCTTTTTGAATGGTATCAGGCCCTCTGCACATGCACACACAGAGCAGCTAAGCAGTGGGACACTTGGGTTCCTCTGGCCTGCGTTTGCTGGCAGGTGGGGTCATCTGGACAACTGGTTTGATCCAGCAGTTGCTGGCACTCTTGGGGACTGGCTGCCCTTCCTTGACCTGGCCCTCTGCCCCTTCAGAGGCCTTGCCACCAGACGCGCTCATCAGCAAGATCACCATCCAGGGCTCCCTAGCTGTGGGCCAGAACTGGTTACCGGATGAGCAGACCAGCCCTCTCACAAGGCTGCGCTACTCTTACCGGGTCATCTGCAGTGACAACTACTATGGGGACAGCTGCTCACGGCTATGCAAGAAGCGCAATGACCACTTCGGCCACTACGTGTGCCAGCCAGATGGCAGCCTGTCCTGCCTGCCCGGCTGGACTGGGGAGTACTGCGAACAGCGTAAGCAGCCAAGCTCCCACCTGCCTGGAGGGGGGTCCCCGGAACAAACACAGTGGCATCTTTTCGGCTGCAGCCTGCCTCCCTTGGAGAGCGGGTCTGGGCTGTCCACTACCTGGGCCTCAGTAACAGCTGGGGATGCTTAGGATGGGCTTGGACTCTGCCCTCCCTCTTCTCAGTGCTCCTCCCCATGGTGCTAAAGCCCACAAAGACCCCATAATTGCATTCCATCCAGCCTGGATTCTCCTTCCCTGTGCCATCATTTCTCTTTAAGACATCCATGGCTCCTCTGGGAAGCCAGGAGTGGGAAGTGAGCCCAGGAGAGCTGGGGGGCACCCCCAGGGCCAGGAGAGGGAGAGTGGGACTTCAGAGTCATTGTCATCCCACCCTCACCCAGTGCCGCCTTCTCTCCTCAGCTGTCTGTCTTTCGGGCTGTCATGAACAGAATGGCTACTGCAGCAAGCCAGCAGAGTGCATGTGAGTAGTGGACAGGAAGCGGTGACGGGGGGAGCCGTCCCCTGTCCAGGCCCTCACCTCACCCTCAGCTTCTCTTTTGTTCTACAGCTGCCGCCCAGGCTGGCAGGGCCGCCTGTGCAACGAATGCATCCCCCACAACGGCTGTCGCCACGGCACCTGCAGCACCCCCTGGCAATGCACTTGTGATGAGGGGTGGGGAGGCCTATTCTGTGACCAAGGTGAGTCAGGGCAAAGAGAGGGGACGGAGAGCTGGGCAGGGCATGGGAACCAGGGTTGTCACCTGGACTCTTCCTACTCGATGACTGCTGAGTCGGCTTTCCCATTATCCTTCAAGGAGCTTGGGACTGTAAGGATCTTAATAACTGGCTTAGAACGAGATGGTGGGTCCTTCTTCCTTAGGTGCTGGGGAGGAAGGGTGGCTGGAGAAGCCAGGAGGGTGACAAGTTGGCAGCCTGAAGGTTGCACTCATAAATTCCAGCAAGGCCAGAGAGAGGGATGCCGGGCTCAGTTCCTCTTTCTACCTTGTAGTTACCTATTAACCCCCTAAGTGTTTGCTTACCTACCAGAGCTGTTTGAGCAGCTCTCCCCTAAACAGCTGTCTGGTGGGGTGTGCCCACTGGCTGCCCTGAGGCTGTGGGTGAGCTGGGCCTCTGGGCGGAGTGACATCTAACCGCCTTCTCGGTGGGGCAGAAACGGCCTCCCTTGTTTCCCCCAGTAGCACTTGCCAGGCAGCTGCCCAAGCCCACACTGTCTTCCTGGTGTTCAGGGGGCTGGTCACTCTTCTGGCTGCACTGGGGTCTGCCAGCCCCAATGATGGGGGAGGGGGCCATTTCTCCTTCATCCTCATAGCCAGCTGCAGCACGTGCCTCCCATTTTCAGGGTCAAATGGGGTGGCTGCTGCCATGGAGACACCAGCACAGGCCTGGGTAGGGTGGGCAGGACGCTTGCCAGGATAGAAAGGACTTGCCTGGGCCCTGACTTGCTGGCAACAAGGGGCTTGGAATTCAGCCCCTGTATTCTTCGTATGTGTGTGTGTGTGTCACTTTCTACCCCACTGCAATCCCCCCAAACACACACACACACACACACACACACACACACACACCTGGTTCCTGCCCTCTCTCTTTCCTCTCCCCACATTTGCTCCCAGGTGACACAGTCATATACTCATCTTATTCAAACAGAGCCCTTACAGTCTCTGTATTTGCTCTGTCTGGTTTTCCCTCCCTGTCCTTCCCAAATAAGAAAACAAATACTTATATTTCAAAATACCCTCGTAACGCATTTCGCTTTAAAAAACGCCTGGCAACCACTTATCGTGGCTCTCGCCTCCCCTCTCCCCTCTACTCTTTCCACCTGTTAAAATTGTAGCCCGTTTCCAGGCTTACCTCAGCTGCCCCTCCTCCACGAGGCCTTTTCTGACTTCCTCCTCAACATGTGGTCTTGTTGTGCCTCCTCTTTTTACCTTTATTCTCCCCTGGCTGCAGTGCTTGTGAGCTTACCTTTGGGCAGTTAACTGTGTCCAACTGTGTTTTTTCAACTTTGATTGATGGTACACCTCAGATGTGGTTCTAGGTGCTTCAATATACCCGATTTCACTGGGGGAAGAGGAAGGGTATTTGGGCCCAGAAGACTTTGAGTTGAACCCTCTGGGCCAAACATGGACAGTGAACTTGCACCCCCAGGAGCCTGGAGGTTGGGACCACTCTTTGGCTCTGCTCAGCCGGTCGGTTCCTGTCTCCGCAGATCTCAACTACTGCACCCATCATTCCCCGTGCAAGAATGGGGCGACGTGCTCCAACAGTGGGCAGCGGAGCTATACCTGCACCTGTCGCCCAGGCTACACTGGCGTGGACTGTGAGCTGGAGCTCAGCGAGTGTGACAGCAACCCCTGTCGCAATGGAGGCAGCTGTAAGGTGAGGCCTAGGCCAATGCAGGAAGGCAGAGTTCTGGCCAGGCGACGCCCAGGCATCCCCTCCCCAGGCGGCCAGGGGATGTGCACCCATGGGCAGGCATTGTGGGCAGGTGGGGCCTAGCCCCCCGCCAGGAATCCCTGCCCCCAAGGGTCTGACTTTGGCCCCTTTCTGCTCTCTTTCCAGGACCAGGAGGACAGCTACCGCTGCCTGTGTCCCCCGGGCTACTATGGCCTGCACTGCGAACACAGCACCTTGAGTTGTGCTGACTCTCCCTGCTTCAATGGGGGCTCCTGTCGGGAGCGCAACCAGGGGACCAGCTATGCCTGTGAATGTCCCCCCAATTTCACTGGCTCCAACTGCGAGAAGAAAGTGGACAGGTGTACCAGCAATCCGTGTGCCAATGGTGCGTCCTGTTGCCTTGCTAACCTGGTGGACTGGCCCTGGGGCCAAGAGAACTTTCTGGTGAGGGAGGGTCAAGAGAGGGGAGAGGCCTTGTCTGTCACTCTGGGCAGGCTGAGACGGATCCCCATCTGCTCCGGATGGTGAAGAGCTTGCTTGATCATCTGGGTGGCTTTGGAAGAGGAGCAGGTTAGCAGTGGGTGCAGGCCTTTGGAAATGGAGCAGTATGCACCCTGCCTGGCTTCCATTCCTATTCCCATGTCCTGACCTGGCTGGGGCAGCCTCTGACCCTCCCCAGGAAGTCCTGGGCTAGAGCGAGGGAACTTGGAGGCCTCGTGTCCCTCCTTGAAAGAGGCTAGCACGGTGAGGTCCCTGCTCCTGGAGGCCTCACCTCTCCCCACGGCTACAGTGAGCCTGGCACAGCATAAGGCGTCTGGAATGTTCAGCATTTTGGGGGACACCAAGCATGTTGGTTATCTTTGTCTCCTTGGCCTTCTGGTGACCCTCTGTGAGGCAGGCAGACAGCACCGTGCAGGAGAGAAGCCTTAGGAGCTGCGGAGGGATTGGAAGGGCTGAGATGGAATCTGCTCTCTGGCTAATCACTTAGTTAACTCCCCGGAGCCAGTTTCTTCATCACTGAATGGGAAAATATAGAACCTGTCCTCTGTCTTTCATGTTGTGAAGATTAAATGAAACAATAATAGATCTCTCTGAGCATTTACTGTACACCATGCATGTGCTCCTGCCTTCACGCATCACCTTACCTAACCTTCAGAGATCTCCTATAGAGGAGACAGCATTCTACTCCAATGTAACAAATGAGGAAATTAGGCTTAGAAATAAAATAAAGCAACGGGTGCCAAATCCCCAGCTAGAGAGAGACAGCTGAGATTCAAACCCAAGCATACCTGTTCGATTCTACTGTAAAGCTCTGTAAGATGCTGGCAGTTCTTATACACGAGCCCACTGAGGCGTAGAGGACCAGGCTCACCCTCAACTGCAGGTCTCCTGACTCTTCGTGCAGAGCTCTTTGTAGTGGGATCTGTGAATGCTGGCCGAGTTCCTGGATGACCTTGGTTCCTGGGATGGGGCACCCTCTGCACCGGGGGGTGGGAGTGGGGTGGGGTCCAAGGAGGTTGCTGACTTGTGGCCCATGTGTACCCACAGGGGGCCAGTGCCTGAACCGAGGTCCAAACCGCATGTGCCGCTGCCGTCCTGGATTCACAGGCGCCCACTGTGAAATCCACATCAGCGACTGTGCTCGCAGCCCTTGTGTCCACGGCGGCACTTGCCGCAACCTGGAGAATGGGTTCGCATGCACCTGCCCTGCTGGCTTCTCTGGCCGGCGCTGCGAGGTGCGGATGCCCACCGACGCCTGTGCCTCGGGACCCTGCTTCAACGGGGCCACCTGCTACGCCAGCCTCCCCCCGGACAACTTCGTCTGCAACTGCCCCTACGGCTTTGTGGGCAGCCGCTGCGAGTTCCCCATGAGCATGCCCCCCAGCTTCCCCTGGGTGGCCGTCTCCCTGGGCGTGGGACTGGTGGTGCTGCTGGTGCTACTGTGCATGGTGGCAGTGGCGGTGCGGCAGCTGCGGCTCAGGCGGCCTGACGACGGCAGCAGGGAGGCCATGAACAACCTGTCGGACTTCCAGAAGGACAACCTGATCCCCGCCGCCCAGCTCAAGAACACAAACCAGAAGAAGGAGCTGGAAGTGGACTGTGGCCTGGACAAGTCCAACTGTGGCAAACAACAGAACCACACATTGGACTATAATCTGGCCCCAGGACCCCTGGGGCGGGGGATCCTGCCCGGGAAGTATCCCCACAGTGACAAGAGCTTAGGGGAGAAGGCGCCACTGCGGATACACAGGTGAGCGGCACCCAGAGGCCCAGGGCTCACCAGGGACCCCCTCACGGTACTGCCTGGGCTCCCCCAGGACAGGTGGGAACTTTTAAGCAAACAGGGGCTCTTGCTGCTGATAGGAGGATGCTCCGACAAGATTTCTGCCAGGCTCCCTCTGTCCCTCCTTCCCATTCACTCATTCATTCATTCACAAATGTCAAGTGTCCACACTGTGTCACTTGTGACCCCCATCTTCCCACGGCATGGCTTGCCTCTGGTGGCAAACTGGCCTTTTCCAGGCCTGAGACCCTCTGGGAAGGTTGGGGTCCTGTGGCTCTCTTAAGGCCTGTAGCTAACTGCCCGCCAGGCTAGCACTGGGCATCCCTAGTCCCCGTGTCTTCTCCCAGAGTCACCTCTGCCAGTTCCCTTTGGCTCTCCGGGGTCCAGGTTAGCGCCCCACCTCCCTCCAGCCCTCTCTTCATCTCTCCCTCACCGGCCTGTCTTGTGTTCCCTCAGTGAAAGGCCAGAGTGTCGGATATCAGCGATATGCTCCCCCAGGGACTCCATGTACCAGTCTGTGTGTTTGATATCAGAAGAGAGGAACGAATGTGTCATTGCCACAGAGGTGAGTGCTAGGCTGTCCTTCCCTTCTAGCATGTTCCCTCCTGCCTTTAGGGGGTGAGAAAGTGGTCCAGTTACTCTTGACCTTAGGGGCCGCTCCTGAAGGGTGGGTCGGAACCCCTCCTTGGCAGTCTGGGTTCAGTGGCTCTCGGATCCCTGCTGGCCTCGTTGCCACAGAGGGTGTGAAACAGGAGCCGTGGTGGTGAGCCAGCCCCGTCTCTTCCTGCTGTGTTAGTGCTGGGCTGGGCGGCCATGGCACCCGGCCAGCTCCCAGGCGCTGCTTCCCAGCTGCTGGTGGGTGAGGGTGGTTGCCTTGTGCCCCTCCTGCCCCTTGCTCACTGGCTTCCTTCACTGGCCCACCTCATGAGCACTGTCTTCCAGGCATGTGTATGTGTTGGGGCAGAAGACTGGGAGGGCTTTCCCACCTCCTCTTCACCCCACCTGCCTCACTGGCTTCTCTCAGGGAGTCCCAGGGCAGCCATGGAGGGAGTGCTTGTACCCCAGAGTAACCCACTTTCGTGCTCTCCACATGCTCCCCAGGTATAAGGCAGGAGCCTCCCCAGGACATCCCAGCTTCGCCCCAGCAGCTGGACCTTCCTTCTGCATTGTTTACATTGCATCCTGGATGGGACATTTTTTAATATGCAACGTGCTGCTCTCAGGAGGAAGAGGGAATGGCATGAACTGGACAGACTGTGAACTTGCCAAGAGATGCAGTACCCTTCCACATCTTTGGGTGTCTGTCTGGCATCAGATTGGCAGCCACGCCAGCCAGGGGAACAGAGGAGAGGAGAGGTGCCACTTGGACCCGCCCTGCCAGCAGTGGCCTTCAGAGGGCTCCTTTGGGGCTCTGGCCTATTTTCCAGAGAGAGTGGCAGTGGCCCCGTGGGGCCCGGAGCTGCTGTGGCCTCCACTGGCATCTGTGTTTCCAAAAGTGCCTTGGACCAGGCTCCATGGCGACAGCTGGGTCCAAATCAGAGAGGAGAGAGGAGGCCAGTAAGGGCAGGGCCGTCTGTGGGCCAGGAAACCATCTGGTTCAGCTCTGGGCAGGAGTGTCCCTGCAGGTGAGGTGAGCGCCCCGAGAGGAGCGGGAGAAGCATTTTCTGCCCGTGCCTCCAGCCGCTGCACGTGGGCCTCACTCCTAACACCATCCCTGCCTCTCCCTGGCCCAGGCTCTCTGGGGAAGGATACTGGTAAGCCTTACCTGGCTTCCACAGCCTCTGGCCCTGGGTGCCTTGGGCTCCTGTGAGCAGATAGGTGGAGGGCCTGCCCCTCTTCCCAGCCAGAGGCAACAGGCCTAACTGGGGAGCTCAGGGCAGTGATGATGGAAATTCCAGTGAGGGAGAAATTGGGTGCTGTCGCCACCTAGGACCTTTCCTCCCTCAAGCCCATTCCCAAGGCCTCGAGCCTGGGCTCTGCCCACACCCACTACTGCCCCCAGACTACCCTTGAAGCCGATCTTCAGAAATCAATAATATGAGTTTTTATTTTGTTTGTTTTTTTTTTTGTAGTTTATTTTGGAGTCTAGTATTTCGATAATTTAAGAATCAGAAGCACTGACCTTTCTACATTTTATAACATTATTTTGTATATAATGTGTATTTATAATATGGAACAGATGTGTACAGGAGTTTAGTATTTCTTGGGTCCTGTCTTTGTGATGGCAGAGTGGGAATCCTTCTGACTCCCCTTCTCATATTGCTGCCGGCTGCCCCCCACACCCCTGGCACCTGGGAGCACTTGGACTTGGCCTACTGTGCTCTAGGCCCTTGTCCTCTTCTAGTTCTTGGGGAATTTGGCCTCACCCATTTAGTCCCCAGCCTGGGCCAGCCTCCTCTGTCTTATGGCTTGAGGTTGGCTGCAGCCCCCCTTCCCCCTCATGCTCCCACCATTCCTTGGGGGTTATGCCCCCTTAACCTGAATCTATCCCGCTTTTCTCCCTTCAAGTCTGAAAAAGCTTACGGACACCCTAGTCAGCCTGGGGGATACAGGAATTTGGGGGAAGGAGACAAACCTGCCTGTTTTCCTCTTTTCAAAAGGATTCTCTTGTCAGAGAGCGGGGTCTCTGACCATGATGACATCTGGGCTCTTCCTCCTGCTATTGCAGGGTTTTAGATGGACTGGCACCCTGCTCATTTTTAAGCCCCGGCAGGGCACTGGTCTTTGTGCCAGGGGGATCTGCCTCGGGTCTGTCCTCCTTGCAGCTGGGCAAGAGAGCTGGCTCTGGGCGCCTGGTCTGCCTGGAGCTGCTAGAGTTGATTGAAGACTGTAGAGAGGGGAGGAGGAAGAAGAGGGAGGCTTCCCTGAGCCCGGGTTTCTCTGGCTGAGGCATTACTGAGAGAGTTTCCAGTCTCTACTTCATGGCTAGCTTCCTCTAAGGCGTAAGATGGTCCCTAGGGTGCCACAGTCTTCTCTCTACAGTCACAAAAATACTCCATGGAGAGCAAGTGATGAAAAAATGAGCCATCGACAGAAAGCTGAGCAGATGCTCCCAGCTCTCAGCCCATCCAGTAAAGCAAAACAGACCCAGCAGATGCCCCCAGTGGAGTCCCAGTATATGCAGCGCTACTTGCCTCCCTTTTCCTTTCTCGCTGACACATAGAGCATGCCCGCCCCTAATCTGGGTGCTTATGCCAGAGACAAGGGAGCAAGAGACCTAGGCTCATCCACACTCACCCAAGTGCACACGTTCCACGCCTCACCCATTGCTCCCTGTTCCCCTCACTGCACACACAGGGTATCAAACAGGAAAGCATTCAGGGAACCGTTCCCACAGCCTGAGCCGGCAGCAGGGGGAAGAACAACACGACCTCACTCTTCCTGCCCAAAATGAAACAGGAAAGCAGCTCCCGGGCCCTGGGGGGCGGGGGAAACTGGGCTGGGACACGAAGGCGAGATGACGAGGCTCCCATGTGGGGGACAGGTAGGACACCCACGGGCCTGCACGTCCACACCACCAGGCTGTGCTGGGCTACACAGGCTGCCAGCTCCTCAGAGAAGAGAGCTCTGGAGGGGAGCTGGCTGGCTAAACCCACTCACCGGCTCTGATACCATGCCAGCTTTCTGGGAAAAGAGGGGATCCCTTCATGGACTTGGTCTGGGCAGCTCCAACCCGTAGCTTGTGCCAGGTTCCACCTCTAGTGACATGCAAAAGCTGCGCCAGGCACTTGGGGTGTGAACAGGCCACAGTGGAAGCCCTTCTCTCTCCAGGATTTCCAGGTCACTCCCTGAGGGTCCAGCCCCTTCTCATAGGTAAGGTACCCAAGACTTTCCTGATGGAGTGTGCAGGTGTACAGGAGAGGTCCTAGGCTTGGCAGAAACAAGGCCAGATGATAGCTCTAGACTCACTGTGAAGTGCTCTCCCTGGCTTAGCAAATACCCATGTTTAATCTGCACTGGTATTTCATAAGACAATTCAGAGCATAGCAGTTCCTTAGCCTGGAAGCAGTGTCCTGTCTAAAGGACAAGTCTGACCCCACGGTGACCGCCAGGTCTGAGGACAGCTGCATTTCCAGAGCCCACTGGCTGGTAACCACCTGGATATCACTGTGGGGCGTCAGGCAGGGAGAGGCTGTGAAGAATGCCTTTATGCTGCTGGCTCAGCTAGCGGTCCCTCTCCGGCCTCGGGGCCAGACTGGTCAGGGGATAGAAGAAAAAGGACAGTGGTTCCTACCTCCCCCCATCCCGGGCTAGTTAAGGCCACTAGGTCACTAAACTCAGGTCGCGCGGACGCTCCACCTCTCACGGGGACCCACAGGGCTCTCCCCTCCTTGACGCTTTCCCCGCCTCTCCCGCGGGTCCGCAGTTTGGCAACCCAGCCCTCCACCCCACGTGGCCCGCCGCATTCCGGGAAGGGATGGAAGTGATTCACTCAGGGAACTGTGAGTGTCCCTTCCCGGGGAGAGGATGCGCCTGGGAGGTCCCAGCGGCCTCCCTCAGGCGGCCGCGCCCTCCCTCGCGCCCCGGGCGCACGGCACGGCCGGATCCCGGCGGGCCTGGAACCCCCAGCGGCGGCGGAAGAGGCAAGTGCGACGCGCTGGCCCGGGTCAGCCCTCCACCTGCCGTCGCCCCGGAGGTCCCGCGGC